TACAGTACTTTAAATATAAAGTAACGAGTCCCCCCCAGTGGCACAGTGATAAGTCTACGGACTTAAACACTAAAAACTGGGTTTCGATACCCGTGGTGAGCAGAGTACAGATAGCTCCTTGTGCAGCTTTGTGCTTAAATACAAACAAACAAACGAGTAACGAGTTACATTGGAATTGTATGATCGATGTGTATAAAAAGCTTAGGAATGTGCAATTTAAGTATTTTTAACCCCATCTGACCGCATTTTCTGAAAACTGAAAATAAAAGAATTCATAACCAAATCACAGATACCTTAATAACAAGAGAAAAAAAGACTTGGAAAAAAATCCTCAGAAGGTATTCTCACTGCAATAAAAAGGAGGTAATCATAAAGTCTAGTAGAACAAACATCGCCATGGGATGATTATCAGTCAGGTGAAACAAGAGTGTAAAAAAAATACACTCAAGCATAACAACAAATAAGATAATAGTAAATGATATAACAATTGAGTAATTAACAGTCTCTGGCCTGCGAGGAAGGCATGAATAAAGTTGATGTTCCTTCTTTTGTGGCATTAGCTTGTAGGATTGATTAGTAGAAGAGAAAAATCCAAACACACAACTTTTGCTGAAAGGATTAATTTACAACGAGTGAAGTCTAGTTACTAACACAATTTCAGTCGTCTAAGCAAAACCCGCCAATTGAAGAAGTCTTAAAAGTTTTCAGATTTTCTTACTATGCGAAGCTAAAGTTAAGTAATAAGCGCTATAAGAAAACTATAAAGACAGTGTTCAAAATTTTCACCGCTGTTGTGTAACATTAGATTCCACATTCATATATTACCTTTCTCATTGTGTTGCTAAGATCGTGATTTTAATGAAAGAATGTAATTAAATTTTGCTATGTAATTCAAAACGTATTCGGTAGGGAGTGCTTTAGAGAACATCTAATATTCTATAGCTGTTACCACGAACGCTATTCAACTTTATAAGTAATGCTGTCAAAATAAATCTTTAACAAATTCTCCTGTTTCATGTAGTCTAAATTGAAAATGAATTAATCTATACACATATCTAATATAATTAAACTTCAATTTATCAAATATTTCTATTTATATGAAGCGAAACTACTTAATTTTCACAGTGAATATGCCTCGCTCGAATACAAAGCTGTTAACATTTAAAGAATGCCTGCAATTCTTATATGATGAACGCTAAAGAAACTTATCTTTATGTATACAACTAAAATATGCCACGTGTGAATTTGCATTTGACAGAAAACAATATACAGAAGACAATAAAGGTGTCAAATATCGACTCAAGCCATAGTACAATCAAAACACGAATAAAATAACCTCCGAATAACTGTCTCTTTAAAAATCCGATTTAATCATCATTGTGGAAGAGTAGTTTGGATACGTCACACGGTGAGTGAACTGTAAGTGTGAGCATAGCACAGATAGTCCATTTGGGAAGTTTTGCTCTTAACAACAAACAAACCAAAGTTTAGAAACATAAAGTTATCAGCTAGCATCAAAGTTAAAGTCGCCCTCTAGCAGTCGTCAAAATACAATTCACTTATTTAATTTTATCAAAAAGTTATTACATTTATCGTCAGTGAAATCAATGTGTGATATGAATCTCTCACTGAAACATTTAGCTCTATCTATCTGTCTATCTATTATAGTTAAAGGAAATTGTTTTATTAAAATATTATCCATTTTAAATATATTGTAGTATGTAATAATTATTAATAGATGTTACGGATAAGAATAATAAATTGGTCATGTAAGTAATGTAATGGATGAATATGTATTAATTTCCTTGTAAAATTGTTTTTTTTTATGCCAAACTTGTAAAAACTGGTTGGCAGTTTTATCAAAAAGTGTCAAAAAGTATCTATCTATCTATCATGCATTCAAATCGTGCAGAAAGCACAAGAAAAAGAAACTTTATACAATTTAGAGAGCACTCCTGAAAGTGCCGAGCGTGTTTAGCGGTATATTACGACTCGAACTTTGGACATTCCCAACCATAACAGAGCAAAAAGTACTAAGTAGTCCTCACAAATCATTCTAAGTGTAATACAAAACTATTGAAATGTGTACATTCTGTTGGAGTTATAAAGAGACATCAGGCTGTTTTTTACTCCAAAAATAAAGGTTTCTCAATCCTGTTCTTGTATATCAAATGTTATAATACTTTGAATATCCATTCACGAGTTAAGTTGTAGTTATATTGTGTACGCTTTAATTACTTGGTGTAATATCTTCTGTGAAACTCTATAAGTGGCTTTCTTTAGATATTAAGATGACAAATGCGTTCATAATTTTTGAGAAAGATTGTAAGTCAATATGGACCTTGTACTTTAAGAAGAAATTTATCCTATTAAATGTCGTATCTCGAAAACAATAAGTGTTCTTGAGACAAAATGGAACCTATGCAATTATACAAAGATGAAAGCGAGTCATAGTTAATATCAAAGCTAAACATTGGAGGCCTTGTATATCAAACAGGCAACAACACGAGCTACAGCCATGTCCAGACTTTAAGTCTCTCAACTCTTGTGTTTCATTAAGACCTAGTACTCATTAATTTAGATGACTCAAAGATGTCTCTCAACAACTGAGCTTCGTTAACTTTGTAGTAATCAGTAATGTAGAACACATTTCCACCATTGTGCTTCTTAAATAATGTAGAAAACTCCAATGTTTTTTTCAGCCATTAAGCTTCGTTAAACCTGTATTAATCACTAATGTGAAAAACCAAAGATTCTTCTCAATCCTTATATTTTGTTAAGGCTGCAGTACTTAGTAATGTAGAAGACACAAAGCGTGGTGTAATTTCACCACTTCTAAGATTCTGCGCCTGAGTGATATCTCAAATATTATCACAACTAGAGAAAATAAATACTAAACTCAATAAACAGTGTAAAAGATAAATGCTTATTTGTAAGTTTCTATTCCTTTCCAAAGTGTGAATTTCAGTGAAGAAAATATGATTTATTTGATTTTTTTACTTCTGCATCAGCAGACTAGTTTTACTGAATTCACAGCCAATCAATGCTTCCTTGAAAGAGCGAAGCAAGTAAGTAAAGTAGGCTTCATATAGCGGTGGAATAGAAGCAGTTTGTTTGGTTTTAATCACCATTAATACCCTAAAATACTTTAGGTGTTTGGATAAAATGACACACATCATCACAATTAATTATCCATTATTATAATAACATCCAACACCTAAAGAATTTTATGTTATTAGTGGTGAGAAAAAGACTATTCATCGAAATCAAAACAAAATACTGTGAGTCTTCAAGCATAACACATCATATATACCAAATTTAAGAAGTTTAACTTCTCTTTGTAATGTCTTCCTGCTGATAAACCATTATAGTAAGGACGATCTTGATTTTTGGGAAGTTTATAACAATACGATACCTGAACAACAATTATTTAGTATATGTTATATGTGTGACTTTAGAACTTAAAAAACAACAACAGGCATAATATATATATTACCTTTGGTATAAAGCAAAACAAATGTAATCGTAAAGATTCCCTAGCATAAAAACAAATCGGTTACATTTTGTAGATTAATATTAATACCATATATTTGTTACAAAGATAAAAATATAATCAAAACAGAATCTTTTGTACAGAAGAATAGTACATATTTAAACACGCTTTTGGGGGAATATTACCACTGTCTATAATAAGGTGAAAACCAAAATCTCTCTGTAACCGACAAGAGAAACTAATTCTACCATCATCTTTTCCCTGGAAATTAATTGTTCAAGTGATTTCATTCTGAAGCTTAATATCATATTTTAATCACACTCCAAATATTGTTTAACATAATTTTTACTTTCCTCAGATCATTTAATGAGGCAAAAGAGTATGTATTTAAAAGTGAATGTAAAATGGTAAATGTCAAAGAACAACGATAACTACGATTATTCATTTTTCTAATTACTATGACATAGCTTGAAACTCACTAAGAAATTGCAGCTTTCAGATGCTTAAAGGAAAGTAGTTCGCAGTTATAGCGTACTTTATGTAAACCACGGGCTTATGAAAAGGACATAACTTAAAGTAATTCGCAGTTGAAGTTATGTCCTTTTCATAAGCCCGTGGTTTACATAAAGTACGCTATAACTGCGAATTACTTTAAGTTATGTCCTTTTCATAAGCCCGTGGTTTACATAAAGTACGCTATAACTGCGAATTACTTTTAGCGTACTTTATGAAAAGGACATAACTTAAAGTAATTCGCAGTTATAGCGTATTTTATGAAGAGGACATAACTTTGGTGAGCATTGACAGCCAGCTACTGGTAACTCGTTAAAGTCTGTCTGGTCAGCAGTTCTGAATTAGGAATGGCATACCTGCACCATGGGGTCTTATGTGACTCTTCAACCCAATATCACTTCAAGTGAGCTTTAGGCTGGAAATATCAGATAAAATAATATTATAATACGCACAAACTATGCATATAACTTATAAAAACTTATAGTATTGATAACTTGGAATTTTTTATTAATATTTGATATTCCTTGTAAACGCTTCAAATCATTCTGTGCCTGTTGTTTTAAACCAATCAATCTAGTAAATAACATTAAAATTTTAACCAATTCAAAACAGCTTAGTTCTTTGGTTTCAGCGGCAAAATGAGTTTAGAAAATTTTTGATCTAACAATAATTGCTAATGGATAAATATCACAGGTTATTTGTTACTGAAAACTATTTACTTTTGAAATAGCTTATTCATTCACGCATAATCACACTCAAGATTCAGTGGTTTACATGAAACGATTAAGCTTAGATGTGCTGTGAAAGTGACAGTAATAACATGCAGTTGTTTAGAATACAAAGTATGTCAGTTTTCCTCTCTGGTTGACAACTTAATTAAAATACACTTACCTAAGATGTTAGATGGATTTTCATTTCAAATATTAACATCTAGCCGTCTTCTGAAGCTCGCCACCAGGGAATTCTACAAACATTTTAGAATCAATCTTTGAACCGATGCCACGTGACCTCTTCAATGAGGATGAGGAACAGATCAGTTGTCATATTGAGGATACCGAAAAAGAAAGTCCTTGTCATTTTTGTGATCGCGTTACATCTCTCTGGAGAACGATTTGTGATTTTCATTGACAGTGGACTATCCCAGCTGCACGACTTTCATCAACAATAACCTTGTATTCTCTTCTCTTTTATTATCAGCAACAATTAGTTTGTGAAACAAAGGGAATATTCTGGTGCTTATCTATGGCGTTCGACTACAGGCTGTTTAATTCGCCTTTTATTACCCACCGGTGCGCGCATTACCCATGAGAATATACTGAAACTATTTTCCGACAGACAAGTCCCAAGCTAGGTATGGGACAACACGGCACACAATTCGAAATGGAAACAGACTTTACAAACAGAGTCATTGGAGTGAGAAGATGTAGCGATCTGAGGGATCATCTCTGCTATAAACACTGATTCGTCTTGTCTTTCACTATATAGTTAAATATTGTCACTAGATTCAACAAAGCATATACAGTTCCGCTAAACGGCGATTATTTGAGTTTTCTTTAGAATGAAAGTTTGGCACAGCTGTTAATAAATTAATAATCTTATTATGTATTGATACGTTGATTATCTGATTCGAACCAACCGTATTATACAAACAAAATTTTTCAAGACGCACAAAAGTTTAATCATATCATATCTCTTTAAATTATTGTTTTATTGTTTTAATTATTGTATTATTTCGGCGTATTTTAAGGCAGAGACTCACACTAACTTTAATTTCATTAGTTCTATGTTGTTGTATTGGACTTAGTTGTCAGCTTTCTCCGTATTAGAAAATAACTTAACAAACTACAGTTCAAACTTTATTCAATAGAAACAAGTTTGGCTACTGATCCCTTCTTCAGACTAACTAAGTGGCTTATGTCATCTTTTATTGTATCTGTACATATAAATGTGAGATACACTATCTAGTTCGTATTAGTGAAGCAAACAGACGTAGTTTGAGAAAAGTTGTGTCAGATAACTGTCGTAATTTGTCAACTTTTATGGTAACCAATGGGGTATAATCTAGACCTGTGACTGTAAGAAGACGGTATGTTCACGACCTGCTATTAACTGCAATCACAAGTCTTTATATAGAAAGCAGCAACACCATTTTGGGATTGGTGGTAAATTCGTCGAGCATTAATACTGATCATGTCACAATAAAACGGAACTTGTGGGAGTACGTTCTTGCTTTAGTAGTCACGAACAGATTCACACTAAAGTCACGCATCATATGAGTTAATAATTGTGGTGTAAACACACTGGTCTTTTTACTGACGGAGTTCTAGATATAAACAATTCATGTAACAATTCAAACATTTATCACATTTTATAAATCGAATAATTTCTATACTTTAAACACTGATTCAATATCTTTATGATGAAGCACATTCTTTATCTCCAACATCAGTACAATGTTTTATACTTGGTCGCAACTTAGAAATAAATACGTTATTCCCAAATAAGCAGATCTGCTTATGCCTGAAAGAGATTTTCTATAGGGTATTTCTAAACAAGGTTAATAACAAGGAATACATCATCAATGATCAACTATTGTAAGCTTCAAGTTGAATCAACTTCTTAACGCTTAGTGTTAAAGTGTTAATCTAACACTAATTTTCCTCATACGCTTTATTTTATATCTTTGTTGTTTTTTTCAGTGATCAGGACCCCCCCCCCAAACAAAAAACACACGTGTTAAGTTTGGAATTGGATCTGAGGAATTGTGACTTATAGATTATGACACGTTCGCTTGACAACTTTACTTTCGCCTTATAGTTAACATTAATAAATATATACATGTATGTATATATATATATAATATTTTTCTAGTACTTATATGGATCGGGTGAATTGGTATATCTGTTACACATCTGTAAGAAATATGCCACTTACGATTGAAACCGCGTTAAAACCATGTTTCAGGCGGTTTGTCATGTATGATTAGAAGCTTATTTCACTGAATATTCTGTTGGATTGTCTTTAGCACAACAGACTGAAAAGCTTCATATTGTCACGTATTGTACACCTTATACCTACATGGAGTTCTCGGGAATTAAGAAAATAAAGACAAAATTAACCTTTTCTTCATATGTTTATTTTCCTTATTGTCCGACGAAGTAGTTAAAGAATTATTAACAAACAGTGGACTGTTGTGAATTAATTATAATTAATTGAATGTGGAATCATTCCTTATAGATCAGGGAACTTCCTTTATTGCTGGGTTATGGTTTGGACGGAAGTTACTTGGTAGAGCTAACGTGTTTAAGTTATAGTTAAGAAATTATTCACGGATGATTAGAATTAGTGTTTTTAGAGAAGTCATATAGCTTCTTCCTGTTTACGTCTTAGAGTAAAATGTAGTTTTAGTTCTAACTTAAGCTGGATGTGAGGTGAAGCAAAGAATTAAAGGCTGACAAAGAGATTATTAAGATACTTTAATTTTTTGTCAAATAAAATTATAGCTGTGTGTAGCAGAAAAGTTGGTTTTAAGGATATAACAAAAGCTTTTACGATTATTGCCTAGTACTAATACGATATAACTGATAGTTTTGGGGCGCGCAGTTAACTACATGAGCCTCTCAGCCCAATGAAACACTTCAACTGATGGTCTACATCTTAATAAATCTCTTTAGATGTTTAGAAGACAAAAAACTCTACATCAAGTCCTATATACCTATTTGTACAATTATCTTCAATTGTGTACAGATGTTGTGAAGTTTATTTTCATTTTTATATATAAATAACCGTCGATTGGAGTACGATCCTGTAACTCAATTCAAATGTCTTTTGGATTATTCACGCGTGACATTTTTATGCATTAAAGTAGGACAATTCAAAGAGTGGGAGTTTTGTAGTCAAGAAACTATAATACCCAACCCAACAGTGAGATGATAATTATATTTTTCATTTAAAGATTAGAAAAGGACACGATATTTAACACTAAAATTACCGATATGATCTATATCACATGTTTCTAAGCTATTTGGGGCATGCCAGATTGGCTGTAGGTCGATGAATCAATTGGTTACAGAGCCCCTAATAAAATGTGAGTCACCCACAGGTAATTAAATAGAAATATCGCCTAAAGTGCAATTAATTCCATTAATTTCTGCTTGGGTCTGCTTTGCGTGTTACATAGAGAGTGGTTGATGCACTCATTTGTTTTGGCCAGTTCCTTAAACTGACTGCTGTAACAGGCAAAAATATAAAATTACTCAATATAATACAACATGTGGATATCGGTAATGAACATTATAATACAACATGTGAATATCGGTAATGAACATTATAATACAACATGTGAATATCGGTAATGAACATTATAATACAACATGTGAATATCGGTAATGAACATTATAATACAACATGTGAATATCGGTAATGAACATTATAATACAACATGTGGATACACCCCATCGGTAATGAACATTATAATACAACATGTGGATACACCCCATCGGTAATGAACATTATAATACAACATGTGAATATCGGTAATGAACATTATAATACAACATGTGGATATACCCCATCAGTAATGAACATTATAAAATCAAGTCGGTAATTTGAAGATTCAGTCATTTTTGGGGTAGTTAGTTTCTGTTAAAATCAGGTAAGCTAGAAGTTTTTCTGCATCTGGAAAAAAAAATACAAGGTGAATATTGAATTAGGGAAAATATTTGAATGCGTTTTTAAAAGCTGTTTAAGTCACATGTTATCGTACACCAAAGTATCTACTTTAATGAGAATAAGATTTATTCTTTTTTGCAAAGCGTGACCAGTGACTTATGAAAACAAAGTACAGAAAACAAATTATACATTGCAATTGCGTTTTGAGTATGCACATTTTGAGATAACATCTTGAGCATGCGTATTTCGGATTAATAGTTGTGTTTAAACAAAAGCAAGTTTCAAAATTTGTGGGAAAGAATTGGACTCAGGCCAGAATTTATCCCTCTTTACTCTTATTTATATACAGTTATATAGTGTTCTTAAAGTAGAGGAAGGAAAAGCAAAGTGCTGAGGAAAGCCATATCCTTCTTCATCAAAACCGGCCGGAAACGGGGTGAGCCACTCTTCTGATTGGCTTAACTATACACCGAAGAATCGTTTAATGGACACCGGACATCTATGTAAGCTATCTGTCGCTCAAAAGTGTTCTCATAAAAATCTCCGAGACCGTTAATAACTTTTCACTTCCATCTTTCCATTTTTACGGAGAAAAACTTCTGAATGACTTTCTGAGAAAGTTGTATTTTTTTTGTTGTTGTTTTTTTTATAAATTCAGTTGAAAACAAACTGTAGAAAGTAAAGGTTTATTACTTCATATTTTACTTTCTAAATCATAATGTGAAATAATATTCACAGACAAATTTTTCTATCGTTGTTTAGTAAGTAAACAATCTCTTTATAAGCTATATACCTATAAGCAATAGTATTTTCATAATATTTTGTGATTATACATGTAGTACAAACAAACGGGAAAATATTCTAAACACGTTATTGGATAAGTAACATTGAATAATAGTTTTATTTTGCAAGACATAGGCTGAAACTACAGATATATTTAAAACTTTTTAAGAGATGATCACGATTTAAAAAATTCAGAAATACCATAATGTTAATGTGATTAGAAACAGGATAACAAATAATATATGAAAAAGAACGAGAAATGTCATTAAAAGTAAAAAATAAAACAAATGTTTAATGGTAAAACTGCACAATGGGTTACCTGCGATCTACCCACCACAGGGATCGAGTCTTGAATTTTGGTGTTATAAACCCTCAGGCGTATCATTGAGTACCTGGGATATGTTAAGCGACATTTCGAGGCTTAAGATTGTTGAGAGATCTTCCGTAAATCCATTCTACCCAAAAAAGGATGAAACAGATAAAATTTAAAAAATATAAAAACACCTCGTAGATATTAATAACTGCTGATAAATGCCTAATTTTAATAAAATAAATGATTTTTTTTTAAATTTGGTTGCTAAAGAGATAGTTTCGACCATTTATGCTTTTAACTATAAGATTTAGACAGAAAAATTAACATAAAAATATAGTTAGACACAAGCATAGATTTCACAAACAACAGAAAAAAGTGTCCAGTGAACATCAGCAGAATTATGCTAATCCAGAACAAAAAATACGACAAGATTTCAGAAGTTTGGACCGATAAAAATAACTTCCACTTCAGCGAAAGAACCTATTGAGACAGTAAAGTTGGTGACGATATTCGTTTGTGGTGTAATGAGGTTAAGCTTAAGTTACCAGAAAAGATTCTATGGTATTCATCGACAAGTAAATGAAGAAAATGATCAACGAAACATGACCTGGGTTATCAAGAAATGTACGAGACAACTTCTTTTAATAGATTGTTTGTCATATCAAAATAACGAGCAGTATGGTATACATTTTGATGGGGGAAAATTAAATTTCAGCCCCATTTTAGTTAAAAAATGAAATAAGTTAGTAAGTTGCGCAAGCGTTTATTTTCCTT